TCCTAATTGGCCCAGCTTAGCCTGGGACATGTCTTAAGCTCCCATCTCTCGGCTAGGAAAAAGAACACCACCTAAAAAAATTTTAGAGCAGAAAGAGAATAGCAAAACTGAAAAAAGAAGATTTAAAGGGCAATCTCCCCCAATCAAAACCAACAACTTGCACATTATTATCTTCATAATGCTGCAACGACATGTGCCACAAACAAATTTCAAACTTTAGCAATTAATCAGAGATTTTTAAAGTTTCACAACCACTAAAAGCACTTCAAAGCCAAAAGTTGTCTGTTAAGCAAATATAAAAAACAAAAAATATTAACCCAGCAAATATGCGAGTAAAAATAATAATTAAAAAGTAAAGTTGGCACAGACTGTCAGCGGCAGACGACAACTTAAAGTGGCCCCTCGCCCACCCCCTTCAAGGGGGGGAGTGTCGCGTAATTAACAGAATTTAATGCGAAGTCAAACAGGAAAACTCGCTATGTGCAGTGACCAAAAAAAGTGACATGGCCAGAACCAGAGTTCGCAATTTATTTACAATGGCCAAACCGCACCGAAACGAAAATTGTTCGTATGACATTAACATTCGATTGGAGGCGGCAGTGGGGGCGTGGCAGCGGGTATACGAACGGAAGTTGCATTTTACTTTTAAATGCAGCAAAAGCCGAAATGTTTTCCATTTTCATTCTCGTTTTCCATACACACACACACACACAGACAAAAGAAAGATCTCCTCCGCACATGCTGCTATTTATGCAAGAAATTCTGTGCAGACACAGCGGCTTACAAAAAGGGGGGAGTGGGCGCAGGGATGCTGGGTTGCAGGGACTGAAGTGCGGTGGGTTAACTCATATGATATGCAACCCGAAAAATGGGTAGACTGGGCTGGACTGCCACCAGCAGAGATATAAGAAATGCACACACAAAAATTAAATATGTAAAAACCACACACACACACACATTATTTTTCTCTGACCTATTTAAATAAATGTATAGATAGGCATTTGGCCGAGATAAAATAAAGTGTTTAAAACGGCTTTAGATATTGGTTAAAACTTCAAAAAGAAAATAAAGGAATGACTAGCTCTATGATTACATATTTGTTCTTTTACATTAGCTCTAACATGTCACCAAATTTGTACTTGGGAATTTTAAGTTCACTCTTTACAGCCATTTCTTAAAGTATATATATATTTTAAAATAATTATTGTATATTAATAATATTATTCTCTGAGTGAACCCACATCCGCCTACATTTCTTTTCATTCACCATTTTTTCTTTCGTTTTTTGTATTTCTCCCACCGCCTCCCTTCGACTTTGCCCACTTTTATGCAGCGTTGTGTCAAGTTTTTAAACGTCAGCTGTGTCTACAGATGGGTTAAGGAGGGGGCTGGCTAACAGGCGCCACGGCGGTGGGTTAAGAGTATGGTCCTGGGGCTTGGCCCACTTTTCTTTTTGCAGTTTCGGACTGTCGTGCTTTATGCGAATTCATATGTAAATCAAGTGAAAACATCAGAGGAAGTGGTGGAGTTCCCACCACTTGGCGAATTGACTTGCGGAAACCCTAACCGGAAGGTTAAATATAGTATTCCGAAATTGGAGCTATGTTTAAAGGAACCTAGGCTTTTAGGCATTTATCAAATGTTTAAGAATCTGTAAATAAATAATATGGCTTTCAATGATATAATTTTTGATATAATGTTAAAACTGTGCAATATCCTTTAGAAAGTCTAAAGAGTTTTCACATCTCACATAAAATATATTAATTAAAAAAATCGAACTCAATTCGGTGTCCTAAAACTTCAACAAACATTTGAAAAGAAGACTTGCATTATATCGCAATTTCTTACTCTCTGAAATCCTTTTGGAAACTCAAGAAAAATGTATTGAGACGCAGGCCAAAATATGACTTATCGCCATCACCATCAATCCTTAAGTTATACAGATAGCTATAGCCTCCTAAGCCGGATCAAACTTTCTTAAAGACCACAAAAAAAAAGTAAAATCAAAATAAAGTCTCAAATCGGAATCCAACTCCTACACCGAATCAGAGTTGGAATTGCATTTCGTGGCGCAAAGTGAATGTAATAAAGCGATTTCTTTTGCTTAAATATCCTCGGAGCTGGCGCACTGCGGATAATTCTATCTGATGCACACACAACCCACTATCTTCGCCCAACCCTCCTGCATTATTTGCATATAACCATATGGCATGGCATGGCAGTGTGTGTGTGTGTGTGTGGGGGAGTATTTTGGGAGCAAAAGGAATGGAAATTGAGAAAACGAAATGGAAAGCTCGACTGCAGTTGATTTGTGTTCTTACTTGGTCTCAGCTGCTGCTGCCGCCCTCCCTCCCGATCACCCCCTATTTTAAGCGATTTCTCAGTTGTTTTTTAGCTTCTTATCAGGCGACTCTTTGTTCGGCAGAAAAACGGAGAACGAATGCCAATTCGAACTCTAGACCGTAATCGAAACCGAAAGCAAAACATTGATGAGCATTGTTTTCAGTTCCGACAGAGCCGCTTACTCATTATCTCTGGCCATTGAGTAAATATACCCAAGAAGCTAAGCAAGCAGCACACAAAGTTGCCCAAGAAAAAAGTTGCATTGAGTCAGGTTTCAGGATTATAGAATGTCTCCATGACTAGCTTGGAATTTCTCATTCATGCCAACTTATCGAACACCTGCTTCTTATCAAAATTTCTTTATAAGGTTTACTCGCTGTACACAGAGAAAGTAGGAGGCTTGTTATTGGGTAAATATTTAAATAAATATTTAAATATTTAAAATAAAGTTAAGTTATACTTTTCATATAAATTTTTTTACACAACCCAGGTATAACGTTAAGCAAATTTTGGAATTTACTAGATTAATATAGCTTCAATATGGCGACTATATTTATTAATAAAAATATGATTTTCCAACTTATCTAGCTTATTTTCCAATATAAATGTGATAGATTTCCTAAGGATTCCTAGTATTATCATCATGAAACTTCCTAGAAGAAGATAAGATTTCCTTCCAATCCTAATTTATATGCTCACCTCATTATTATTTCGAAGATCATCTCATTTGCCCCCAAAAGCTCCCTGTTAATCGTCTGTTAGCTGACATCACTTGAGCAAAACTTGTCTGGATATTCTTTGGAGTATTTTGTCTTGTCTTCCTCTCATTTTCATGAAAGCGGAAGATGCAATCAAAAGCAGACAAAAGGAAATAGCAATAAAAAGAGGCCTACCCAAAATACAAACGACTAAGGAGGGAAGCAAAGCCAACACAAGAGTAAGTCATTTTTGTAATTCTTTTTATTTTTAAATTAGTTTACAATAAGAGAGAGAAAAGCTGAACTTGAGGCTTCCGCTCAGAGATTGCACACATATTACTCATTTATTTTTAGCTTTGCCTTTTCGAGAATAAAATTAAAACCTTTCTTTGGCTTCGATTAAAAAATATATATAATATATTGCATTTTTTACTATTGTTAAATATTTATACATTTAATTATTAAAAGACTTGAAATATTACTATTTCGAAAGATGCTCGTTTCAATTAACTAATAGATATTGATTTTTTAATTACAAAAGAAAAATGTAGAAAGACTTTCCAAACGTCGCTTAACTGTACATTTCTTTATTTAAATTTAGTTTACAATAAGAATCGTTCATTTATGAGCTTAATCCTCCGATTTCCTACTGAATTTTAGCGGGAATCTCCACGCAGATAATGTCCGCACCATCCTGATCCTGCAGCTCCCACTTTACCAGGACAGAGACCTTCGGATAGGACTTCAAAACCGGAAGGGTGGCCGTGTAGCGATAGGTCTCGCCCTTCTCCAGCGGACACTTAAGACCGCTGTTCACACAAGCATCTGGATTGGCCAGAGGGAAGGGCATCTCAATGCCCAAAACCTTGCCATGGACCACGGTTTTCACCTTTGAGGCCACCTCGGCCAAGGCAAAGTCGATCGAGAAGCTGACCGTGGTGTTTCGCTTGAGAATACACTCCGCCTTGGTGGTGTCGCATCCCTCGATGGCCACCCGAGTGAACTTGCCCGTCTTCGATCCGCAATCGGTGAACTCCAGGGCTCCGGCGAAGGCCACCAGCACCGCACAGGCAATTACCGCAAATCTCAGCATTTTTCCTCCAGTTAATTGAATTACAAGGTAAGAGTGATGTATGTATGTTATCTGGCTTTCGCTTAATTTCTGCTTTTTCACCCCAGCGCTAAGAATCTACTAAATTCGCTCACCAGCAGACGCAAAGAGAGGGCCGAAGACAAAGTCAAAGCTTATTCGAGATTAAAAACAGCTGCGCGCGACGATTCAGAATGGAAAAGAAAGCTTTCTCCAGCGATTTTTAATATCGATTAAAATTAATTTTAAATATAAATATGTCTTAAAGAATGCTATAAAGTTGTAGGTCTAATGAAATTAAAATTAAAATTTAAATTTAAATTTAAATTATATAACGCTCTGATTAAATTAAAAAAAAAAGTGTATGTAAATTTATTGTGTGATATTTCTTAGTTGTCTCTAAAACCGGCATACTAAAATTAGAAACACTACCAATAAATTAAACCCACCTTAACTCCTCAATTCGATAAAATAACATTATAAGAAATAGCAGTGTCATAAATAAATTTAATAATAAATATAAATAACGGAGGGACAATTTTTGTTTCACAGTTTACATTTTTTAACACTTAATTTTCTAATAAATTGATGTGCAAGTTAAAAATAGCAAGGACTCGGAACACAAAAATTTAAGCCTTTCATAAGCCTTCGCTTTACATTACAATCAGGGGATCTTGACTGTTAGTCTTTCTCGTATAGGTGAAATATAGTTTAATAATTTATTTCTTTTAACTACATTTATTATATTACATTATAATTTTAAATGTATTTATATATTTAATTTAAAAATAATAATCGCTTCCGATTAAGGCTAAACTGCCACCACTGGCTAGGAAAGCTTTTTCCACGATAATTATCGATAGCACACGAAAGCTGACAGATTACAGTTGCTTCATTTGCCGCCGCTCAGTATTCTACTGAGCCTATTCGCAATTACTAAATTTGTAACAATAGTACAACCAATTTGTGCATTTAAAAATGTCGCAGGTTTGTAAGCTCGGTTTGTTGATCAGCAATCGATTGACCCCCGCCGCCATCCGCCGCAAGTGAGTACAGAGAAAGAGATGGAAAGAACGAAAAAAGCGCCGTATTGTTTTTGTTGTTTTTTTGCCAAACACGTTGCAGATGCAGCGGTGTCATTTGCCAAGGTCATTGCAGTTGCCGGTCTAATTGCGTGTGTTGTGTGTGTTTGTTTTTCTCCATTACTGCATAATTTGTTTGGCATTGGGTATCACGTTCCCCTGGATTTTTTGTATTATGCAGCAGCGTAGGGGCATCATTCTCTCATATGCAAATTGAAAAAAGAAAACTACAGCTGTTTTTGTATTGTTAGCTAATATTCGCATATGTTTGGTTTACTTTACTTAGTATATATACTAAATCATGGAGGTGTATTTATTTTTAAAGCCAATTTCATGACGTTCCATGGGACAGAATCTATTTTTTGCTATTTTTCTTCTGCTTGAGAGAACATTCAGAAGCCGCATGATGAAAGCGGTTAGAAGATAACGAATTCTAAATGCGCTACAGGAAGTTTGAATAAACTTGTTAAATGTCAAGTGGACGGGCACAATCATTAAAGTTTTCATTGATAAATGGAATGCATAAAATTACAAATTTTTTCATGATATTACTATTAAAATTAAAGGTTTCTTCGCTTCCATAAAGATACAGTATTAAACTTAAAATTAAATATAACTAAATTACAACTTTTTAATAATTAAACTTTCAGAAATCTTAATTTCTAATTTAAAATATATTTGGATATTTGGAATTTCTCCATAAGGCAAAAGCTGCTTTAAAAGAGCGTAGGGTATTCTTGGCCAAATCACGCTTTTGTCGCGTGCTTTTATTTCTACATTTTATGGAACTACTTCTTAAATTATGGCAGTTTGTTTTATCGAAGTGCAGGCCGACACCGGAAGGTCCCCTATATAGTAATCAAACAAATCATATTCAAAGACAGGTGGCACCCAATTGAAAGAGTTTAATTAACTTTGATTATTTCCACGATTTATAACGGCTCTGGATAATGAGAGACGGGGAATTGGGAAGAAGGCTACGTCAGCACGTTATCGCTGACGTAGGCCTTAATGGATCTATATTGTGTGTGTTCTGTAAGGCGTCGACCGACCGAGTTCCCATAATAACATGTTTACAGCTGATAAGAGTGGGCTGTAGTAAAGACCCCCATGTTGTGCTGAGCACAAGGCATTACCTGTGGGTGCAAAATCCAAGAAAACCTCCAGATGACTTTCAAACTTTAGTCATGAAACCAGAATGAGAAAAGATAGCATACAAGTGGCAGACATAAAGATGAGATAACCCACTAAGCAGTCCTCTAATCTACCAATTAAATTTAAAACACAAAAACCAGATAAGAAGGAGGTAAGGTGTTTCAGAGGGGTTAAAGGTTGAGATAAAGGGAAACGGAAGTGCATTAGATTTAAATTAACTTTAGATATTATAACCTCTAGTTTATATTACCAATACATTCTAATCATTACTGTTTTCTCTGTCGTTTTAGATCAACATGGTTTTCGGAAGTGCAAATGGGTCCCCCTGATGCTATTCTGGGAGTTACAGAGGCCTTCAAGAAGGATCAGAACCCCAAGAAAATTAATTTGGGCGCTGGCGCCTACCGTGATGATAATACTCAGCCCTTTGTGCTGCCTAGTGTGAGGGAGGTAAATTATTATCAACTGTTTGACTTCCTCCATAAGTTATATAATAAAAAAAATATATATATTATTCGTTACCAGGCGGAAAAGCGAGTAGTGAGCAAGAAATTGGACAAGGAGTATGCCACCATTATTGGCGTTCCCGAGTTCTACAACAAGGCCATTGAGCTGGCCTTGGGCAAGGTAATTAAATAGTCATTTTTCTTACTTTTTATAATGATTTCATAATTTACATAATTTTCTCTTTAACAGGAATCCAAGCGTCTGGCTGCCAAGCACAATGTCACCGCCCAGTCCATCAGTGGAACTGGAGCTCTTCGTATCGGAGCTGCCTTCCTATCCAAATTCTGGAAGGGCAATCGCGAAATCTACATCCCAACGCCATCGTGGGGCAACCATGTGGCCATTTTCGAGCACGCTGGACTGCCAGTGAACCGCTATCGCTACTACAACAAGGATACCTGTGACCTGGACTTTTGCGGACTGATCGAGGACCTAAATGTGAGTCCTTAATCACAAAGATATGTAATAAAATATAAATCCATTTTTTAACTTTTAGAAAATCCCAGAAAAGAGCATCGTCCTCCTGCACGCCTGTGCTCACAATCCCACTGGTGTGGATCCCACTTCAGAGCAGTGGCGCGAGATCTCGGCGCTGGTGAAGAAGCGTAACCTGTACCCCTTCATCGACATGGCCTATCAGGGCTTCGCAACCGGCGATGTCGATCGCGATGCCCAGGCGGTTCGCATCTTCGAGGCCGATGGCCATGACTTCTGCTTGGCCCAGAGTTTCGCCAAGAACATGGGATTGTATGGCGAGCGTGCTGGTGCCTTCACCGTCATGTGCTCCGATAAAGAGGAGGCTGATCGTGTCATGTCCCAGGTGAAGATTCTGATCCGTGGTCTCTACTCCAATCCCCCCGTTCATGGAGCCAGAATTGCGGCCGAGATCCTCAACAACGAGGACTTGCGCGCCCAGTGGCTGAAGGATGTGAAGCTTATGGCCGATCGCATCATCGATGTGCGCAGCAAACTGAAGAATAACCTGGAAAAGTTGGGCTCCACCCAGAACTGGGATCACATCGTCAACCAGATTGGCATGTTCTGCTTCACGGGCCTGAAGCCGGAGCAGGTTCAGAAGCTGATAAAGGAGCACAGCATCTATCTGACCAACGATGGACGCGTTTCGATGGCCGGCGTCACCAGCAAGAATGTGGAGTACCTGGCCGAGAGCATACACAAGGTCACCAAGTAGGGTGGCGTAAGGAGAAAGCACAGTTGATATCGCAGTAGAGGATGTAGGAGTTTCACTAGTAGCTACCTATCGGCACCTGTACGAATTTTAATGGCACCAAACGAAATTGAGAAGTATAGTTGAACTAAATGCATTTTGCACACTCTCTATCTACATTTATATCTCTGTAAATAAGCTAAATTATCTGCCGTTTTAAAAGTAAAGCATTTTACAAATAGACATCTCGAAAGGAGTGAATTATTTCATAGGGTAAAGGGTATTGTAATCTTGAAGATCTTGGAGGCTTTTAAGGATGCAATTCAAAAGAATTAAAATTGATTCAGGACTACATTTTAAAAGCTTTTAATTTGTTATTCATATTTTACTAGCATCCAATTTTTTTTGTTATATGTATGTACAACTAGGATCACGGTTTGTTATAACGATATCTTAGCTTATCGCTTGGTTCGCAGTACTCCTTGATAATGAGCTTGCACAGGAATATGTGGAATACTATGATTATTGCACACACGGACACCCAGAAGAGAGTGGGCAGGCCGCCCAGCTGGTGGCCATGCCGATGCAGGGCTATCAGATGTTGCTCATGGGCAGGAGCTTAACAAAAATATATTTTTAGATAATTGGATTGAATGATCATTTAGACCTCTTACCTTCTACCACTTCTTTGACATGGATGGCATGGTGCAGCTCCTCCATGTGCTGCTTGTCCTCGGTTATGTATAATATTGCTGTCAGGGGTTCAGTCAGTTTAACTGGGAATTGTCGTCGATTTTGCCTGCAAACAAACCAGGGAAAATAACTATAAAGAAAAGCACTTGATGGGAGGGAATGTAGCACTGAGAATTACGTCAGTAGCACGGGCTCATCCAGGCAACCACCATCGCAGGCATAGTAGCTCCGGTCTGATCGATCCAGCGCCACGTTTATTACCGCCTTGTTGTCATCTGTGACAATAATGGTGACATTCACATGAGTTTTATTGCCATAATTGAGGCGCCTGAAGTGGAAGTCTCTGTGCAGGAACTTCGGATGGATGTTGCACTCAAGGTGCTGATTGCTAAACCGAAAGCTGCCAAAGCTCAAGACCATGGCTTGGATCACGCCCGAGGCGCCGGCTCGTATAAGATTGTGACAGCCCTGCTTCTCCAACGTTAGCATCCAGGACGAGACCAGCGAATTGAGCTGCTGCAGGCTGGACATGTCCCGCCAAAGGTTCTCCGCCTGCAGCGTGTGATAGGAATCGTAGCAACCTTCGGCGTAGGTCAGAGCCTTGGCAATGTCCTCTTTCTTTGATGAGCCGACGCTAAGCTCTTCGAATTCGAAACTGCGCACCTGGGAGAGCACTGCGTACATGGTGGCATTAATGCGATCGCCATTCAAGCTATTCTCAGCCTTGGAAGTGCTTATCGTAAACCCAGTGGCCCAGAGATCTGTCCACACATCGATGTGCTCCTGTCGGTAGCTGTTAATACCCGAATTCGCGGCCTTGGAGCCGAGCTTCTGCAGTAGCTTGATCATTGCCTGCGTGGCTTGTTGCTCGGTGGCTTCGCCAATACCCTTGACTTGGCTCTCCGCCACGAGCTTGGAGTATTGTACGGCTATGGGGTACACGATTCGCACTGTTCCCCGCTTCCTTAGCTGCAGTTTGGAGTCCAACTGCGGCTTCACTATGCTTATCACAATGCATTTACTGGGATTTTCGGGCTGAGGCTGCACAGTGCCCGTGAGCACCTCCAGCTCGCTGTAGGTAAACATTCCAGCCGAAACGGGTTCACTGAGGGCCACAGTGCGCCTGCTCAGCTTGGGCAGATTGACGCGTGGCATGATCAGCTCGATGTCCTCCAGCATGTTGCGTGTATTCGTGATTTGCAGCTCCTGCATGAAGATGCCCGGTTGTGTGCGGTGAGCGTAGTAAGTGTAAGATACGAAGTAATCTGCGAAGCATTGGAACCGATGCACCATGCCCGTCAGGTACTCCACGACAGTGGACTCCTTTTCGCCCACCAAGGCTCCTCCTCCCCCGGATACGGACACCACAGGCTGAAAGCGGATGGGCAGCTGCATGGCCCTGCCATGCTTAATGTTCAGATAGGCGTCGTGCGCTATCTCCAGCCCCAGGTAGCCGTTGCCGACATAGGGCGTGAAATCGCGCTCGCCGGGCATTTTTGAGGGTGACACGTGACGAATGTTGGCGTCGAACTCAAAGTTCTGGAGGACAAAGGGTGTCAGCCGGTCGTCCATGCAAATGCTGTGGGGATCTGCAAGGACAAGGTGCTGAGTTCAGCAGCTGCAATAGCGGGAGTAGCTGCGCCCACTCACCCTTCTGTTCAGGTGCACTAAGAAAGATGTAGCGAAAGATCGGCGGCAGCATATAGAACACCACACACACGCAGAGGAGCAGCAGAAAGAGGCGGCGGTAGGAGGACAGGGTGCCCTCCGCCAGGCGCTTGAGCCGGCGCATCACGTCTCCACCGTCGAACTTGCTTTTCGCTGAGCGGAACAACATTTTCCAGCAGTTTCGGGCGAGTTTTCATCGGGAAAATTGAAATTCATTTCAATTCAGACCATTTTATAGAGATGGGAGTAAAAAAAAAACATTGCCCGATAACGAAAACATCGATACTATCGGGTATTTTATTTGTTAAACCTAAACTAATTTTAGAATTCTTTATTGTTACAGCTTTAATATTGTGATGCAGTTTTAAAAATGGGTTTTCGATGGCCCAGTGGGAGCTGAGATTCGATATGTACACATAATTGTGAATGACTTCGTGAGTGGGGAACAGAGTTGCCGTTATAGCCTTTTTCCGGACAGATCTGTCCGGATTCCAGCCGCCTCAGCGGGAAAAAATTTAAAACATCCCCTAGCCTTTTATCTGTCCTTTCTTTATTTTGGCCTGGCCTTTTTTATCCGCTTTTTATTCTTGTGTAAAGTGCGGAAGCAACCAATCTAATGAAAATGAAAGTTTAGAATCTTGTAATGATGACTTTGACGATGTTCTAAACGAGTTGGCAAACAACAAAGAGTAATATTACATAAAATGTATGGAACAAATGTTTTGTCTTGTTTTTTGTCCTTTTCTATCCTTTGTTTGTAACCAATCTAGCCTTTCTTTGTAACGAGCTGACGGCAACACTGGTGGGGAAACACAAATGGCCAAAAGGGCAATGTGACCGTTCAACATGAATTAATTTATTACCGCGCTACGTCGTGTGAGCCGCTGCTTACCGCTGCCAATATCAACAACAAAAGATCTAGTTATCATAGAAGTAAACTTAAGAGTAAGATGGCCTGTCTCCCAGAAGGCATGTCAAAGCGAAAAAGGCTGTATACAGCCGGTCTGGCTGGCCTGGGCCTGATCATTTTGGTTTCGATCTACAAGTGCGGCTTTCGAAGTGCATCAATATCTGGCCCTGAAGATTGCTTTTTCTGTGATTTTGCTAACCACAGGCCGAGTTCTAGAGGACCCAATCCAAATCTTGAGGTGGAAACAGAGGAATATGTGATATTTAAGGATAAATTTCCGGCTGCCCGGCATCATTACTTGGCGATACCCAAAGAGCATTTGGAGAGCTTCAGCGTCCTCAACAGGTCTCACCTGGGGCTGGGTAAGTCAGAGATAAGCCACGTCTCAGGTGCGTGACCATACTAATGAGTTTATCTTTATCCAGTGCAGCGCATGGAGTTGGGAATGAAGGAGCTGTTCAAATCTAAGAATGTAGATCCAAACGAGGCCATTATTGGGTTCCACATACCCCCCTTCATATCGGTGAAGCACCTTCACCTCCACGGCATTTATCCGGCCTCCGACATGAACGTGTTGAATAAGATCAACTTTTTCTCCTCCTTCTGGTTCAAAAAGGTCTTAACGAGATATAGTTACGTATTCTTAATTTAGTAATAACGTTTATTTGTTTTTTAGTCCGAGGATGCGATACAAGACCTGGAAAGTCGGGAACTATGAAAAGCGGATGGTTTTATATATTTTATCATAATTGAGATACCTGATTCCTGTGACTGACATCTTACCAGTGATGCCCACTCCACTTGCTTGGAGAACTCTGAATATTCCCCTTGCCTATGCAAGTTTAGGATATATATTTCCAATCGTGACCAAAAATAAGAAATAAAGCTAGCTGGAAATACATACTTTAAAAGGTTTTGGTGGCCCACCTACGAGGATAAATTGAATTTTAACGGAATCCCTTTGGTCATCACTGCCTTGCGCCACCCTGAGAACGGCGACAGTGTTGCGAAGCGCGCCATCGTTGGCTGCTTCCTCTTGCGCGCATCGCTGTCCGCGTTGCGCTTTGAATGGCGCTGTCCGCGTTGCGCTTTGAATGGTGCTGCCCGCGTTGCGCTGTGAATGACGCATCGCTGTCCGCGTTGCGCTCTGAATGTCATCGCGTCCGCGTTGCGCTGTGAATGCTCATCGCTGTCCGCGTTGCGCTGTGAATGCTCATCGCTGTCCGCGTTGCGCTGTGAATGCTCATCGCTGTCCGCGTTGCGCTGTGAATGCTCATCGCTGTCCGCGTTGCGCTGTGAATGCTCATCGCATCGCGTCCGCGTTGCGCTCTGAATGTCATCGCGTCCGCGTTGCGCTGTGAATGCTCATCGCATCGCGTCCGCGTTGCGCTGTGAATGTCATCGCGTCCGCGTTGCGCTGTGAATGTCATCATTTTAGAAACGCTGCGTTTGTTTTAACTACAACTAGATTCGCGACATAACCCTGCCTTGGCCCAAGCGAACGCGACCGCAACTGCACGGGATTGCCCACGGCCACGGATAGCAACTAGCGAACGGAGAGATGTGGCCGCAAACGCTGGAGATGTCGCGGGACGAGTGCCGAGGCATGCTGCGTCGACTTGGTGAGAGCGCTTGGATGGTCCCCAGAAGTCTGGCGAGGACTGCCCACCGAGGCTGCGGTCAAGCATCTAACCCACATCTTGGCGCTGTGCCTGTCCTTGTTTCCCACCCGCAGAACTCGAGTCCTATTCGCATGTGGTGAGCGTTTTTCGCGCCCAAGGGGCGCTGAGTGAGCCCAAGGCGAAGCTGCTGGAGGAACTGCGCCAGCTCTTCCACATCACCCAGGAGAGGCATCGCGCCGAGGTTCGGCGGGCCGCCAACGACGAGCAGCTCAGCACCATTGCCGAGAAGTAAGGGATCCGGTCGAGAACTCCGCGATTCGTGCCCTCTAAAAGCCCTCCGTGTGTGTATCTCTTGCAGCGTCTGCGGCCCCAATACCTGGCAGGAATGGTCCCGAGAGGGACGCCGGCCCTATCCGCTGCTGCCCCGGATCAGTCCCCAAACGGCGCTCAGCATCGTGGCCAATGATCTGGCGCAGAAGGCCTTCGAGGAGAATGCAAAGCTGGCGACCCCCGCCGAAACGGGCGTCCACTTTAACCAGGCCCTCATCGAGCAGGCCTCGTTCATGAGCGTGAAGCACGGCTGGATGGGCGGCAGGAGCCAGGACCCAGCCGCGGTGATCATGGAGGAGCCGGTAAGTTATATAATCCCGCCCCGGGCATACGTTGTTTGTGCCCCTCTCATCTCGCTCGTGTGCGTGGGCAGTGAAAGTGCAGGGACTGTACCTCTGGCATCGCAAGTCCAGTGGCTGCAGGGCAGCCACCCAAAGAGGTGCCCAAGGTGGCTCTCCACTGCCAAAAACATGTGTTAACTCAGAAGTTGCATCCCCAGAAACTGTTTTCCTCTAACAAAGTTAATTGGAGGGAAAATAACCCATTAAAACACATCCAATTGGACTACGGTGTTCCAAGTGGTTAGACTTAACGGGGGGGAAAATAATGGAGGAAAAGGAACTTTCAAGTATCCTTTTCCCGTATCGTATCTATTTATGCAGCGAATGTTTCTCGAAATAAGGTAATTTCGTGGCTATATATATAGAAAAGATTCCTGGCCAATCAGAAACATTTAACATTAACTGCGTTAACAGTCTGTGAGTATCTGTTAACCTGGCACTGTTGAAAATGTTAGCCAAATAAAAGTTATCGATAGTCGTTAACATTTTCAAGCATTCAAATCTGATTTTAAACGGGATTATATAATACAGTGAGAAAAATTAGACCTATTTTGAATACATTTTTAAATAATTTTGAAATACACATAAATTCTTAATTATTTAAAACCTTTTTTTTTAACCAAAAATGTTGTATTTACATAAATATAATTAAAAAATATTATTTAAATTTAAATCCCCTTTGAAATATTATTTTTATTTGACTCTTTCTTTCTCCCTCCCCCTTTCCCACAGTTCAAAGTGCCCGATGTGCCCAACGAGGTGAAGAAGATGACACAAAAGCGGAAGGAGAACGAGAGTGGTGCGGATGGCCTGAAGCCCAACAAAAAGCGGCATTTGCAGCATCAGCAGTCTCTCCAGACTCCCCACCAGCAGCAGCAGTTGTCCCACACTGCCAATTCCGAGGATGGCGAACCCGTGCCCGTGGAGAAGCGTCTAAGTCCGCGGACTGCACAGCAGCGCTTCTTCTACCAGCAGCAGGTGAAGCACAAGCAGCGTTTGGCCAGCAAACGGAATTTGGCCAGTGGCTTGGGCTCCCCCTCCCAGGCAGGCAGCCCTGTGGGCGGCAGAAACGCCGCTGCATTGTCATCTTCGGGCGGAGAGGCGACGCCGGCGAAGAGGATAGCAGCTCCGGCCAAGAGTGGACGGCGGGCACAGAAGCAACTGCAACAGCAGCAGCAGCAAAAGTTGCAGCAACAGCTGCAGCAGCAGCAGGCGCAGCTGCAACAGAAAGTATTATTGCAATCGTCAGAGGCGACGGTGCCCAATCATTTGGTGGTGCAGCCCCACGTGGAGTATGTACTCGATGAGGCGCTCAAAACGCTGGCAGCCACCAGCACACCGTCGACACCCACACCCACGTCCACAGCCACGCCGCCGTACTCCTTCTTCAACGATCCGAGGCCGCTCGTTACGCTGAAGCCTTTGAAGCCCCTGAAGCCATTCGTTTATGGCCCGCAAAGCGGATCGGCAGCAGCCGCGGCAGAAATTGGTTCGCCCACAACACCAGGCGCTCGTGGATTTGCCAATTCACCCATTGTTTTCAAGGACAAGGTGCAGGCCTCACCGGTGCAGGTGCAGGTGCAAAGCCAGACTCAGAGTACGCCCGTCAAGAAGTACATCGTGGAAGAAAAGCAGGCGGATACCACGACACCGTTGGCAACTACCAACACCACCATACCCATTTCTACTGCTAATCTTCCTTTGACTCCTCAGATCATCAGTGTTCAGCAGATCCCAGCGCCGCCGATGGGCGCTAAATTGAGGCCGGCAGTGGTGCCCTCTTCGCCCACCAGCAACTCCTCCTCCACCGCAGCGCTCCTGCCGCCGGGCACCAAGCTCACGCCCAAGAAGTTCAATCTCTTGGACGGCGGCGGTGGTGGTGAGGCAAAACCAAAAACCTTGCCCAGTTCAGCGGTTCGCCTTCTGCCGTACACGGACCCAATTGTGGGTCCGTCGTCTCCCCTAAAGGACTCCCGGGTGACCCCATTGAGCAGCGCCTCCACTGTGAACATCATCAAGAATATACCAGCTAGTAGTTTGAACAATACCCTGATTACCCCGCTGCCGGTGTCTGGAGGAGCCACAATGCCGCCCAATCTGTTCCGGGCGAAGGTGACAACACCTCAGATGAAGGGTGCTGGCGGAGTGGCCGTCATTGGTGCGTCGTCTTCGGGGACAGCAGCTGTTACTGCTTCCTCTTCTCCCCAAATTCTGGGAAACATTAAGCTAACCACCAGCTCGGGAGGAGCGGCGGCCACTATCAAGCAGGTGCCCAGTAGTGCCCTGCGAAACATAAAGATTTGCTCACCCAACGGCAAGGTATTCCTGCAGCCAGGCAAGCTGCCGGCAGGAAGCATTATACACAAGCTAAACAATGCGAGTGGCAGCCCAGTAGGAGGAGCAACAGGATCCGGAGTAACCACAGCGGTTTCACCCTCAAATCTGCCGGCGCGAGATCAGCGGATCAGCATACAGAAGATGCAGATATTGCCACAGGCGCAGACCACAACGGGAAGTGGGACCGGCAGCAGCCCTACCACCAGCATCTCCGGGAAGCAGCAGGCTCCAGGCGCCAAGCCCACCACTGTGACCTTCTCCACAACGAGCGGCGGCAAGAACAATCTCGTCTTCCTCCCAGCAAGCGCGGCGAGCGGCATGAGAGCTCTCACACTGGCCGCCACCAAGCCCAAATCGAATGTGCTGGTCATCGGAGCGACACCCGCCAACCCGAACACCATGAGTGCAACAACGTCTCCCAACAATCCCACGAGCAGTGGGGCCAAGCCCAAACCCAATCAACTCATTACCGAGGACACACCCATCGATATCATTAATATGCCCATAATAGTGGCGGATAATGGCACTGGAACCGGGACCGAGATCAAACAGGGATCCGGGGTAATGAAGTCCTCGCCGTTGGTGGTCTTCAATGCCACCGATTGGGAGATGGAGCTTGACCAGGCAGCTACCAAAACGACGCCAGTGTCGACGCCCTCCAAGCAGGAAGGGGTCCTGAACGACGACGACGACGTTATAGTGGAGGAGGACGAAGAACTCGAGGGAGATGTAGTGGTGGAGGAGCAGCAGGCTGAGCAATCAGCCAACTTGGAGCTCAACAATCGCAGTGAGTGCAGGCAATGCTGATCTGGGGAAGAATTTTAAACTGTTTTCTTTTCAGTCATTGAACTACATCCGGAGGATGACAGTGCCATCGAGTATGTGGACATGGATCTGGAGCAGCCCATCGAGATAGAGAGCACCAGCAACATATCGCCAGAGACGACAGCCACCACCACCACTACTTCCCTGAAGGCAGCCATTGTGCCGGCATCTCCGCAGCAGAAGCAGAAGCCTTTGGAGCAGGCACTGGCAGCAGCTACGCTGTAGATCCCCCCGTTTTTCTAGAGAGATTTCCGAGTGAGAGAACGCACACAGCAGAGACCCGGTTCGAATTAGATTTAGTTGGTAGTTTAGCCTCAATGTCAAGAGTTTCCTTTTACCATTTACAAGTTTATATTATCGCAAAGTGCAAGATTATCCTTAATTCAATTCAAAGCCAGTTTCTGAAGCCTAAGCTTAAAAGAGAGAGGAGAACGCAAGTTCGAAGTAGTTAAGTTGCCAAAATCACACATAGTTGAGAGTATAATATCATGGAATTTGTGTTAGTTTTTAGTTTATTCATTTTATTTCATTTCATTATTTTCTTTAAACCCCAGTCCCTGGGAATCCCCTTTCTCTCTCTCTCTCCTGTACATAGGGCAGATATAAATCTGCAGAACGTTACCTTAATTTTGTATAGCTTTGTATATAGAGTCCAGCATATATTATTCGATTCTCCATGGCCCCCCATCTCATTAATTCGTTTTTACTTTAGTTGCTTAAGCTTAAATCCACACACACAAGAAATTCGAAAAACTTTAAACACAAAAAAGTAATAAACTTAAAACAAATTCGTTTGAAAGGTTGGCTTAATTACGTGAGATTATAGACCCTAGGACACGTGTAAATACCAGAATGAATTTCGAAACGCAGATGCAAACCCAATACCGCATTATATATATAGATATACATATGTATAAAAAGGAGAACTCATGCTAAACAGATGATTAACCATTAACGATTTATTTAGATCTAAGTATTTTATGCGTCGTAAATTTTGTAAATTCAAATCTTAAGAGCAACGTTGTAACTTTTAGGAGACCAAAAGCCCAAAAATGAAAACGGAAACATCAAGAACAAACCCTTCCTACTCCCCTCCACAAATAATACAAAACACAAAACAAAATATTGTTGAACAATGCGTGTCGCTGTAAAATCTTTAGCATAGAAATTTTAAACGAAATAAATTTAAATGTAAAACAATTCGTTGTCATTACTCCTTTATGGTTTTCTATATGTACAAACATATATCAATATAATTTCATCGTTAGTAAACACTTGTTAACTTATTGCTGTTGCCAGAGGATCTGAGTGTGTATATAAGGAGCTTGGTCACGCAAAATGAGGGAAACCAAACCGTAAAAAACGTGAATTATTCTAGGATTTAGGTAGGTAGGGCGATCAGTTCCGGCCCAAGGTCATGCCCCTGCCCCAGGGATTCTCGGGTGCCTGTCGCGGCGGTGCTCGGCTCTCTGGCGGCACTCCAAAGCCTCCGAATCCGCCTGATATGTCTGGCACAAGTCGCTTCCTGAAAGGATAGAAAGAAAAAACTCAATAGATGATGAATTGAAGTCAAGTCTATAAGATATACTTACAAAAACTGCGGAGTTTCCAGCAGGGCGGTGCCGCCCAGATCCTGTGAGTACTGGAACTTGAAAAAGTAGTACACATGGCCATTGAATATGCCCACCAGCGGGGCGAGGGAACTGCAAAGTATGACCATTAACAATTAGTGGATCAAGAGAAACCCCCCAGAAATTACAACTTACAAGTGAAAAATGAACTCAAAGGCGGCCAGCACCCATGGCAGGTACATGGCCTTGAAGCGCGTGCCAAACCAAAAGGACACTGTGACGTCCTTGTTCAGCTGGCACCAGATATACGTGATCGCCAGTACATACATGTCCATGAGGAAGTACACGCTGAACAGCATTCCGCCAATGTTCGCCAGCACCGCCGACACAATCAGCAAATACAAATAGTCAGACGGACTTCGCCCATACTGATCCTTCTCCAGCTTGGAGCTGTACTGCACGATGAAGAAGCAGTTGATGAGGAAGTGGAAGGCCGTGCTCGGCGAGATCGGGAACACGAACAGTGACGTCACGCAGCGCCAAAGCTGCAGCTTCCCAAAGACGGCGGATCTGTCCAGATGGAGCCAATGGAGGGGAATGATGTCAAAGCGGCAGAGCAGGCTCAGACCAACGGTGGCCGTGAGCCAGTAGCGGGTGAAGCGAGGCAGGGAACGGTACCACGTGCCAGCGTCCATTGTGTGTTGCTTGCAAACTCTCCTTGTTTGTACTTAATTCATTAAATTTACTTGTTTTCCCACTGAATGATTTGGGGTATTTTTGTTGCTTTACGTGTCTTTCTAGAGATGACAGAGTCGACGCATTTCCCAGTGAATGGAACAATCGTCGAGACTATCGTTTTGGGGTGAGCCTTATTTTGATATGCAACATGTTTGCAAGTCGATTTTGGTTAATTTAAAAAATAACACTATTTGATGTTATATATTTATTCAATATATAAAAAATTATATATTATATATATATGAATGTATATATATGAATATGTATTTACATATATGATGTTATTTTTTTTAGTCAAATTATTATGATTTTTGATCGTTGGTTTAATGGAGATTCCTTGATGTTAGCCTTGGTTGCTTCACAGGGTTATTCCCCTGATCAGGATTCGATTCGGCAGCTGCCCCGCTCTCTGATGAGGGTTCATCAACACCACTAAAGTCATCGTGGGCATCAGGCAGGTTATGTGTACTGAAAGCAGAAAAATTTGAATTTTAAGAATATAAGGATAACAAAATAACTCCAAAAAATATAGTCACTTGGATGGAAAATCTTCTGAAAATGTTTCAGAATTAGAGAAGGTTTCAGGATCCGATTCGGCAGCTGCACTGCTCCCTGATGGTTCACCAGCACCACTAAAGTCACCATGGACATCAGGCAGGATATTTTTACTGAAAGTAGAGCAAGGGGAAATCTAATAAAAATATATACATCTTCCAGCTTATTTCGTATTTAAAGTTTAAACCGTTGCTGCTATCTATATCTGTACATCTAAAATTTGGATTATTTTGTATTGCAGTTACATTTTATGTAAATATAAAAGTCTTTGTTCGTTTAACATCTTATCTTTTATTGCTTTGCAACAGGGACCTGGTGCAAGCAGTTGGTGAGTTTACAAAAATATATATGTTTATAAATACCAACTGACCTCTAGTTTATCAAGACGAAAAAATGCAATATTTTGCTCTTCCTATATAAAGTGTATACATATATACTTACAGTATACGAGGTGTGTCCAACAGATTGGGATAATGGAACTTGAGACTATGGTAGATGTCGCCAATACAAATACCATAAAAGGATTGCAAGGAACTGTATGGGGAAAAAGACTCGTTAGATGGACTCAAACCCCTAATTTTTATAATAAAAATCTTACAAAAAAATGAAGTAATCAAGAACGACCAGCACCAATGGCAGATGCAAAGCCTTAAACCGCGTTCCGAACAAGCTCTCAGTTACGTCTGGTTGCAGCCGACAGCCGATATACAGCACGGACATCACTGCAATTTTCATCACGTTGTCGGTTTTGAATAGGAATCCTGCGACATTCGCTAGCACAGCCACAATGATTAGGAGATACAGATATGCCGCTGGACTCCTTTCAAACTGATTCTCCAGCATTGCACTGTATTTCAACAGATAGTGGCAATGGAGGACGAATCGAAAGACCATGCCTGAATTGATGGGGTAGGCCACAATTGAGGTGAGGCATCGCCACCACTCCCAATGGTAGTAGACCAAGTTCCAGTCCAGCTTCATCCATTCGACGGGCAGCATCTCAAGTGGGCCGACAAGGCAGCTGACCACCACTGTGGTGGTGAACCAGTATCTGGTTAATCTGGGCAGAGATCGGTACCATCTCGTGATCATCCTGAATCCGTATCCGTTTGGGTGTCGGCAGGTCAAGTCAGCTGAATAATGATTCAATACTGGCAGCTTATTGCGAAAGCCAAGCTGGCGATTGTTGATTTCCTTAAATGCAGTTCTTAGGGATGCGCCAAAGTTGCAAGTTGCTCGGAATGGCAAATATCGCGGCAATTGTTGCAGGTCGCAAAAACATAAGCTTTCCTGCCGGTTAAAATGGCACAATCGTTGCAACTATCGTTTTGGGGTGAGCCTTATTTTGAAATGCAACACGTTTGCAAGTCGATTTTGGTTAATTTAAAAAATAACACTATTTGATGTTATATAGATATTTAATAAAATAATGTTAGTATATAAAAGATATATGTATGTTTGATGTTATGTATGATGTTATGTTTTTAAGTCAATTATTCGGATCAATTTTTTTGATCGTTTAATGGAGATTCCTTGATGTAAGCCTTCGTTGCTTCACAGGGTTATTCCCCTGTTCAGGATTCGATTCGGCAGCTGCCCCGCTCTCTGATGAGGGTTCATCAACACCACTTAAGTCATCATGTGCATCAGGTGTACTGAAAGCATAAAAATATTAATTTTCAGAAAAATAAAGATAACAAAATTTAGTGTACTAGAAAAATTGCTTAAAATTAATCTAGAAACTCCAAAAAATATAGTTACTTGGATGGCAAATCTTCTCCAAACATTTCAGAATCAGGGAAGGGTTCAGGGTCCGATTCGGCAGCCGCACGGCTCCCTGATGGTTCACCAGCACCACTAAAGTGGGGGACATCAGGCAGGAAACTTTTACTGAAAGTAGAGCAAGGTGAAATCTTATAAAAATATATACAGCTTACAGCTTATTTCATATTTAAAGTTTAAACCCTTGTTGTTTCTTCTGCGGAATTGAATAAGATTTAAAATTAGTCTTAGTTGGTTTACATCTTTATTTGTTTTTTTTTTTTCTTTTCATAAAGATTATCGTCTTTGTTCGTTTAACAACCTCGAGCTTATCAAGACGTTAATGTATATTTTTAAAGAGAAATGCAAAAGAAACAAAAAGAAAGCACTTCCTATATAAAAAGTATGTATACTTACAGTATATGAGGTGTGTCCAGCAGATTGGGATACTGAAACTTGAGATTATAGTACAAGTCGCCAATCCAAATACCAGTAAGGGCTTCTAGGGAACTGTATGGGGAAAATCATTCGTTAGATGGACCCAAACCCCTTATTTTTACAATGAAAATCTTACTAAAAAATGAAGTAATCAAGCACGACCAGCAACAATGGCAGATGCAAGGACTTAAACTGCGTTCCGAACAAGTTCACATTTACGTCTGGTTGCAGACGACAGGCGATATACACCACGGCCATCACTGAGACTTTCATTAGGTTGGTGATTGTCAATAGGATTCCTGCGACATTCGCTAGCACAGCGACAATGATGAGGAGATACAGATATGCCGCTGGACTCTTTTCAAACTGATTCTCCAGCATTGCACTGTATCTCACAAGATAGTGGCAATAGAGGGGAAATCGAAAAAACTTGACTGAGTTGATGGGGAAGGCCACGATTGAGGTGAGGCATCGCCACCACTCCTTACGGTAGAATAACATGCTCCAGTCTAGCTGCATCCGTTCGATGGGCACTATATCAAATAGGCCGACAAGGCAGCTGACCACCACTGTGGTGGTGAACCAGTATCTGGTTAATCTCGGCAGTGAATAGTACCAACTCAACATTGTCCTGAATCCGTATGTGGCGGCAGGGTCAAGTCAGCTCAATAATGATTCAATACTGACAACTTATTGCGAAAGTCCAGTTGGCGATGCGATTGCAGATATGCAGGTCTTAGGGATGCGCCAAAGTTGCAAGTTGCTCGGAATGGCAAATATCGCAGCAATTGTTGCAGGTCGCAAACATAAGCTTTCATGGCGGCTAACCGCCGATCTTTTAAAACGGAGCTTTCGAAGAAAACTTCTGTTTGATTTGACATTTATAAACATATTTTTAATATTTTAATTAATTAATTAATTAATTAATTATTATTATTAATTATTTATATTAATTTAAAATCTTAACCCAAATGGAAATACTTTCAGAGAGGAACTCAATTTTTATGAAGTAAAAAACAATTTAATAATTATAAAAATTAAACCCAAATTTTTTAGAATATCCTTAACATAATTTCAAATAAAATGTACATTTCTAAATTTTCTATCCAACACAAAAAATAAGTCTTGATATTAACAATACTTAGTGCCGCCATAAAGTATGCTAAGAAAACATAATTTTACAGGATACATATGTGGGGGTATACATACAATCGTGGACATAAGTATTTTGACATAAATAAAAATCCACATTTTGTGTTGTAAATTATGAATTGTTGAAATTTTAAGCAGCTGTTTGTTGAAACTTTTTTATTCGACAGCCCTAGTATATTTTTGTTGTTTTACTCTTTTATAGGAATGGCACGAACGTCGGGACTATCGTTTAGGGTGAACCATATTTCGACATGCAACAACCAGAATTTTCGTTAATAAATTTATAAATAACATTGATTGGTATATGAATTTGTATTTGATATACAGAATATATTCATAAAATAATGTTAGTATATACGAGATTGCGAAATTATTTGTAAATATATAATATAATTTAATTCAGTCACATTTTTTATTCGTTTTGGTCACTGGTTTATAAGGGATTTTTTAATTTTAGTTTCAGTTGCCTCCCAGGGTCATGCCCCGTCCCCAGGAATAATCAGGACTCGGTACGGCTGAGGCCCTGCTCTCTGATGCCCCATCAAAAGCACTGAACCCACCACGAGCATCAGGCAGGATGCGTTTCCTGAAAGCAAAGAAAGAGGAATGAATATGTATACATATATGTACATACATATATACTTACAGTATACGAGGTGTTTCAATCAGATTGGGATATTGATCCTTGAGGAAATAGTAGATGTGACCATTAAAAATACCAACGAAGGTTTCCAAGGAGCTGTATGGATACAACACTCATTAGAAAGGGTTAAAAAAAACACAATTTTCCTTATAAAATTCTTACAAATTAAAGATGAAATCAAAGCCGGCCAGCACCCATGGCAGATACATGGCCTTTAAACGCGTTCCGAACCAGAAGCTCACAGTCTCGTCCTTGTGTAATCGACACCAGCTATAGAGTACGGACATCACTATAATTTCCAATAGGCTGGTGGCTTCGATTAGGAATCCTCCGACATTCGCCAGCACAGCTATGATAATCAGGAAATACAGATATGCCGCTGGACTCCTTCCAAACTGTTCCCTCTCCAGCATTCCACTGTAGGTCACCAGAAAGTAGCAATACAAGAGGAATGGAAACGCCGTGTTCGGATTGATGGGGAAGGCCACAATTGAGGTGAGGCATCGCCACCACTCCCAACGGTAGTAGATCTCCCTCCAGTCCAGCTCCAGCCATTCGATGGGCAGCAGCTGAAACCGGCTAACTAGGCAGCTGACCACCACTGTGGTGGTGAACCAGTATCTGGTTATTCTGGGCAGTGAATAGTACCAACTCGTGATCATCCTGAATCCGTATCCGTATGGGTATCGCAGGTAAAGTCAGCACAAGAATGATTCAATACTGACAACTTATTGCGAAAGTCGAGCTGGCGATTGTTGATTTCCTTATATGCAACTCTTAGGGATGCGCCAAAGTTGCAACTTGCTCGGAATGGCAAATATCGCAGCAATTGTTGCAGGTCGCAAATATAAGCTTTCATGGCGGCTAACCGCCGATATTTTAAAACGAAGCTTTTGAAGAAAACTTCTGTTTGATTTGACAAACAGCTTTTAAATATTTTTTTAATATTTAAATTAAAAAAGAAATAAATAAAATATGTAAATTAAAGCATTAAATGATTCGTTTTGTTTAACCCGAATTAAATATTTCATTATTTTGATTTATTTTAAGGTAATTCAAAATCCTAACCCAAATGGAAATACTTTCACAGAGGAACTCAATTTTCATGAAGTAAAAAAACAATATAACCAATTTAATAATTATTAAAATTAGACCCAAAATTTGTAGAATATACTTAACTTAATTTCAAACTAAATGTACATTTCTAAATTTTCTATCCAACACGAAAATTGCGACTTGATATTAATAATACTCAGTGCCGCCATAAAGTATGCTAAGAAAACATAGTTGTACAGGATACAAACATCTAACATATGTATATTATCCTGTAGGCAACATTGTAAAAAATATAAAAAAATCATTTTATACCTTGAATAATCAATTAATAAAGGTTTTAACTTTTGGCTTATTTGGTACAGAGTTTTGGGCGGTCGTCAAAATGAAAGAATCGTTGAAAACTAATTATGAAATATTGTTTAGTGTAATATTAAAATAATTCCCATGTAAAGAAACATTTAAAAAAGATCAATTAACGGATATATTGAAAACAAATATTTAAAGTCTAAAAATCCCATGTAAAGAAAACGAAATGTAAGTTATTTTTAATTATGACTCCAGTTGGTTTCTTTCTCTATTATTCTTTTGATGCTGGTTTAATTTGATATTTCTTAAAATTAAAACGCTCTTTATTCGTGACCATAAAAACGAAATATACATTTTTTTATTAAAGTTCATTATTATTATTTTAGGAACCCCTCGCCCCCTCCACTTTTCACCTTTGATCCCGCAATTTGTGATTTTTTGTGGTAACATTTTTCTTTTGGCGACTGACAAAGAGATGGACAACAACAAAGGACAAAACCACACACACACACACATACCCAGGACACTTAATTCATAACAGACGAGAGCACACAAATAAATAGCGCAAAAATTCGGTTCTCGTTTTTGGCAACTTTTTGTGGTATCTTTGTGGAGATGCCTTTGTTAGTACCCTAAAATAAAATGAAATTTTTGGACAGGTAAGAAGCGTGTGCCACTCTGGCGCACACACACATGCACACACGGGCGAACACGCTTGCAATGCAGTGCACTATGGGGAATTTGGCCATTTTTATGGTATTAATTAATAACTTTTAAACTAAGTAATATATTTCGAAACGGTTTTTTTTATTATAATTATGGACTCCATAAGAAATGATTTTTGGAAAAATGGGCGTGGTTCCGCCCTCGCTTGACGATTTTTTTATTTTTATTTTTATTTTTTTAAGTGTATAAGGTGATTTTTTCTTTTTTTCAAACAATATATTTTATAAACATAATAAAAAAAATTCATTGTCTTAATTTTCAAGCTCTTCGTTAGATATAAATTAAAAAACGTAATTTTCATATTCAATTTCTTCATAAATGAGGTCCAGGCCTTCAAATTCGCTAATAACTTCCATTTGGCACTTACATTAATGCAAAAAAATTAGCTTTTGCCTTTTAAACAGGTAAAATGATTTGACACATTAATATTTATATGTAATTAACTTGAAAAATGGTTTTTTCTTGGTAAAATTTGCTCGAAAAGACCTGCAAAAAAAATTAAATTACGCAGATTGTGCGGATTTGTGCACATTGAGACAAATTGCCTTTTATTTAGAATGAATGCCTCTACAACATATATTGGACGTACAGCAATACAAGGACATATATTTTTTATAGGTCTCTTTAAAGTTAAATATTTTCTCAAAAAAATTTCCTTAGAGGAACACTTAGAAAAATCGCAATATATCAGTAAGACCCACACAGATCAATATATTAGTACACACTACACATAATAATTACCAGTACGATTGGTCTCCATCAAAACTTTAATCAAAAATTGGTTCTACTTTTATGTTTTTTACTTTCAAAGTAACCGAATAAAAAATAGCTATTTTCAATCACGTGCATTTTGGCTACAACAGCCGACTTTAACAGTGGATAGGCTTAACAGTGCACTGTTAATTAACATTTCTGGTACTACATTTTATGGAGCCATATATTTTTAATATTTTTACATAAAAAAAACTCAAATATTTAAAGTTTGATAAAATGACTAAATACCACGGAAATGGCAAAATTCCCCATAGTGCAGTGGTGCGAAATTAATCAACTTGGAAATTGTGCGCTTTTCCAATATCCTGAATTCTCGAGAGGCAGCGGCTGTGCTGATTAATTTCCAAATAAGCGACAAAGTAAAATTTTTATTGAGCTCACATTTGTTTAGCTAATTTCTTAAAGTATATGTAGGTGTACATATGTATATATTTTTTTGTAACGAAAGTAAAAGCCGGCAAAGTTCAAGTTTCGAGTGCCCCAAAAAATGAAAAAAAAGTTAAGGAAAAATGCCAATGCATCAAATGGCAAGTGCGTGGGTGTAAGTGCGATGGCAGTAGCTTCCGTGTGTGGTGCCTGTTGAATTTCCAGCCAGCAAAATCGAGAGAGTGAGTGAGAGCAAAAGAGAGGGCGGCGTTGCCGAGAGAGCAACAGTAACAAAATGTCGAGGCTAATCAAGTGTGCGCGTGTATGTGTGAGGACACACCCACCGATTGGCTATACACAAGAACGGGTGCTAGAGCAGTGTGACGCATGCGCTGCCATTTTGGTGCGTTGACTGCGCTGCTCCCTGCCATTTGATACGCCCCTTAACGGTGTTTTCCTGATGATCATTAAGTTACACCCGCACATACACATATACATACATATACAGCCTCACGCACCCCCACAACTGGCTGTACATAGAAAGGGACTACGGTTTTATTTACCTAGCCGCTGAGCCTTTTGCCCGGGAACTCACCTGGATATCTTTTTGGTCTCAAACTCACCTGGCTCTGTCATTTTGTCGCTACGAACGATGCACTGGCAAAGAAACAGTAATCCAAGAATTTAGAATTTAGCTTCCAAAACCCATATAAACTGTTTTGGAAAGAGTTTATAGAAAATCTAAGGTAAAATAATGCAAACATTGGATGTATAATAAATCTAGGTACTTAAAACTATTTTGTGAAAAGGTATCTTTAACTATATTTAGACTTTACTATAGTATATTGATGAATAAGTTTGTCTATCTTTTAAAAGACGTTACAATCTGAGTCGGTTTATTTTTAACAAGGTGCTTCAATGTTTTTAAAACAAGAAATTGTTCCATCATTAAAATATAATTTATGTATATCTTTAGTTTTAAAAATAAACAGTAATATAATATTATAATATTTAATACTTCATCTTCATTTCATAGAAGATTCTACTTTCCATTTCTTTAAGTGTGCTCGCTCATTTCGTTGCGTTCTATGTAGAGAAGGCGGCCATTTTTCCACTCCCTACACTTTCGTCCTACGCCGCTCCTTCACTGCGTCTTTTATTTAATATTTTATATGCAAACATTTTATTATCCCTTTTCCAACTTGGGCTGTCGTCGTCGTCGCTTTTTTCCTGCCTTGAATTTTGGCTTTTGTCCGTTTCAATTGCTGTAATGAATGCCATATCTCTCCACTGCTTCGCCTCCAGGATCTCTTCCCCCTGCATTCCTCTTCTCCCTTTCGTTTTATTGTTGCAGACACTTGAGGTGTGGAAAATGCAAAAAGTTGATTTCTTGAGAGCTTTGTGGAAACGTCTCCTAGAAAAGTTGTCGTTATTAAATGAAATAATTGTGCCTGAGGAATTTTGGTAATTGTTGTTATTATTTCTTGGCAATTTTAAGAAGATTTAGTAATGAAGTTCATTTTAATGGAAAAATGTTCATTTTAATGGAAATTTAGAAAATGTAATTTAATATATTTTTATATTTAAGTAAAGACTTTATTATTTTTTGTTTTTCATTTGTGTGTGGCATATACATGTTTATAGCCTATAGTTTTTCCTATCAAGTTCAATGTGTATCCCTTAAACAATTCCATCCTATAAAAATGTATTTACAAAAATGAACATAAATACATTAAGTTCCATGAGTCCTGTTGAGATCGGTTTCCAAAGTGGAGGAATACGAGATCTCTTGCCAATTGTGAATTCTCAATGCGTTTTTTTGCCGCTTCGCTCTACGCATGGGAATTTTGTTCAGGCTTTTGACATTTGCCTTGCATCTAATTACTGTAATTATTTGATTAAAAAATCTCCCAGGGTGCTCAATCGTTTCACCTTTTTGCCATTGCCACCGCCTCTTTTCTCCTCTCGTCCGAGGGAAGGTCCTTTGCTCTCTCCCTTTTCCCGCACCCTGTATCCATCTCTATTACAGCTAAACAATGGCATCACATGTGTGTGTATTTGTACTTTCGGTTGTCATGGCATCGGGTGAAAATTCGGATTCTGATGCGGAGCATATTTCACATGCCCCGTTTGTGAAAACTGCACAAAAATGTGATTCCATAGTGGGCATTTCTGCTGTGTTTTACGTTTTCTGTTTTCGGTATTTGCCTTTGCCCTACGATTTCGATAATGGCACAGCGGGAAAGAGCGCGAGAGGGGGGCACCCAAAAAAAAAAAAAGGAAAGAAAAAACTACTGTTAAAAGGAATATACAGTAGGTGCTTTGTTGGTTAGATATGTGTGTACATATGTATATAGGGTTTTAAGGACCAATTTTTAAGAATTTTTATAGAGTTTTGGTTATTTCCATTCAATATTTATAAACTACGTTTTGTTATTAATACTAATTAATATACATAAGATTTACATAAAGTATTACCTGTTATGTCAAACATAGTTTGATCACTATTACAAAAAAATGTAGCCTACTTTGGTGCGTTTACCATAGGGACATGCCATTTAAATAAGTTTCTAATCGTCATATGAGTTCAATTTTTAATTTTTATTGTAATAATTGTATTACCAATAGATTTAGTTAGACAGAAAATGGACATTATGGACTTTCGAATTTAAATAAAATATATAATTTATATAGTTTTAATTAATATATTAAAAAGTTCCCCCAAAAAGCAAAGACCTCTTCCGAGCGACCACTGTGCTCACCTGTGTAAATGGGAGCGCAAAAAGAGGCGAATCACAAGAGCAGCCAGCGACGATGCCAAATTGCAGTGCAAATATGTACTCACACAACAGGGGTGTGGGGTAGGGGGATGCAAAGGGGAGGCGGAGAATGACTGCGACAACGGGAGGAGGTTATGTAGGGACGCTTAGTAAAAGGACAGTCAGCAGCAGCTGCAGGATCGGGCAGAGAGCGAGATGATGAGCATGATGGCGTTAATGGCACGCACACACACTCTCGCACTTTCGCTCACCCCCAAAGTATGTGCGAGCGAGAGACACAATGACATGATAATGACGTTTGCCAACCACTCGCTCTCACTCTCTCATGCTGCCAAACCTAGCCGCTGTCAGCGTCAGTTGAGCGAGAGCGAGAGAGCGTGTCGGGGCGCTCGGATACCATTAAGTTGTTGCTGCCTTTTGACTTTGCCGTCGGCACATTGTGTAGCCGTCGTGTGGGTGTGCAAGGGAGACGGGAACAGCTCGGCCGGGGAGCAGGAGCAGGAGCTCTCTTCCATCGATGGGATTTACCGTTACGTTTCGCCGTCGCCATATTTATATGTGGCCCAGGACATCATCGCAACGGTGTTGTTGTTGCTTTTTGTTTTTGCCTTAATTTACTTTGGCGCATAAATCAAATATTTACATTCCGAAATTGACGTCTTGAAAGCGCGGTCGCAAAAAACTCGGCGTTCTTCGTCCTGCCAAGGAGGTTTCCTTTCAGTAGCGTGTGTGTGGCCTTGTGAGTGTGCGTGTGTGTGTTGGAATTAATACCTAAAACAAACAGTTATTTGACCTGCAGCCGATTAGTGAAGAAGAAGAAGTGGCCAAAAAAGTGAAAAGACTTGGCTTTGAAGTTGAAAAACAAGAATTACCTCAATATTAACTCAAGCTCAAGACATCAAAAAGGGATATTAATTGCTGTGCGCAAACATTCGGCAGCAGATCCTGGCAAATAAATCGTGCGGAAAACTCTGGCCAAAGATTTTCCACCTCTCGTTTGTAAGTTTCTCTGTATGTTTGATTTTCATCTATCCTTCTTAATAGATATTTGTCTAAGGTGGGAATAAATTAGCAATTTGTGGAGCAGAATCTTAAATGGATACAAATTTAAGCCTGCAGGTGATTGGTTTAAATTTGTATTAGGTTATTACTTTTCGAGTAAATAAAGTTAAAGAAAATTATGGAAAATTTATTAAAAATTAAACTATATTTTAAGAATGATTTTGAAGGTTAAAATATCAAAGCTAAATGGCTTCTTTGGTTAAAACTTGTTTAAATTTATTTGCAAGGTCCAGAGTTTTCTTATTAACTTAAAACTTTTACCAATATCTAAATAAGCTTTATTAAAACGTGCTTTGTTTCTATAGACTTCATTGTAAAGCGAAATATATTAAAACTCTAATCAAACCAAAGAAGGATCTTTCTTTGTATCTTTAAGGTCTTTGAAAAGAAACCCGTTTTTCAGCTTGATTTTAAAACCTTTAATGATAATGATAATGATATTTAAACAACTAATGCATTGTTACACTGGTTTCATATAGGTCTTACTCCAATTTTCCTTCTGTTTAAACAAACTATGTATATTTGCAAGACCAAAAGACCTTTGTCCCTGAGCTCGCCACTCGGGATACAGAATAACTAAAATATTTAAGGCGTCGCCTGTTAAATGCCAACTAGCCGCTAAGCCGGCCACTCGACTGGTTTTCCGCTTTGCCACTTGCCACTTTTCACTTTCGGCCCACAGTGGCGAAAAGCTCAGGGAAACTGCTCTGGGGAAACTAAGGAAAAAACAGGGCCACTCGAGGCGGGTGAGTTGCCCCCAAGCAACGGGCGTGTGTGTGTGAAATGAAATGGAAAGTGTCCTTAGAAGCTGCCAACTGAGCGCGACAATCTGTCAAATGTTCAAAATGTTCAGTTGTTGTCGTCGTCGCCTGTCGACTGTCGTCTATCAATTGTTAATGTCACAGACGCCCAGCGTGAAGAAAGGATGTGGCCAGGAATTGGAGGTGGAGAGTTCTACACTTGTAGGAAATTCAGAAATAAAGTATAATCTCTGCCTTTGGGTTTCCTTGATTCAATTAGCAAGAAATTTATTACACTTTTTTGGGATATTAGCTCTTAACTTTATTAAATTTTATTTTAAAGTTTATCGAGCATAGTTTTTTTTAGTTCTTTTTAAGATGAGTCATGAATGGAAATCCTTATTATTATATTATTAATATATATATATTCAGAACTTTTCATATTTTTTTCGCCGTGTAAAACCTGAAGCGACTTAACATGCTGTTTTGGCCTGTTTAACTTTCGGCTGACTGGCGCTGGCTTTCTTTATTTTAATTGGGATTTGTGCTGCTGCTGGCTTGGGCCCAACGCCTTGGCGGGACTCGCAGTATTCGCAGGACTCCCGCCCTCGCTGTCAATCTTCGGCTGAGTGAGCAAGGAGCTGCGGCCTGGAAACGCCACGTGGTTGCTCCTCGTTCCCTCACCTTTGAGCTCCTGCGAAATGCGCTTTTGAATAAAACACAATGTGCAGTAGTCCTTTAAAATCGGAGTAAGAAAATAAAAGGGGGATGGCACAAAGCGTTTTCCGATTTCTACTTTCCATTTTTGTGGTTTCGCTCCGCTTTTTATTTGCCTTGGTTTTTTGATTTCCTGACACGGGTACGCCGGCAATCGTTGTGACATTTTAATTGTTTATTTGCACAGAGCCCTTGCGGCCTGCCCTCGCTTGGTCCGCATCCTGTATCCGGAATCCAGACTTTCAATCCTGCATCCCACTCAAGTGCTCGAGCTGCGAATATATAAATATATGTATATATATATATATATATATTTTTATTCAGCCAAAGATTTCGCGGTCCCTTCTGGTTCCCCCCTCTTTGAGGAATCGAACTCGCTGGTTGTCCTGCGGTGGAGAGTCCTTCGCGGAGTCCTCCACTTTGCGCTACTGGTTAGCGTACATTGGTTAATGTAAATATTTGGCTTTTGTTGTCACTTCAAGTGCTCTCCGCTGCTGTTTATTATTAGTTCGCTTTTTTTATTGCCGGGCACTTTGTATTTTAAACGGGCGTTTTTTAAAGTTGCCTGGGGATTGAGGGATTTGGCAGTTATAGGAATCTAGAAAAAAATACATTGTGTTCAAAATAAAATGATTTCGGATATAAATATATTTTTAGGAGCATGGAAAATATGAATTATATTATATCATATACGAAAAAATAAAACACTTTTTTATCCTGATAATGTTAAACACACTTATTTCTCATTACCAATGGCTATTTCAAATACTATCTTTCCCTACAGATTAGATAATTTCCTTCCATAAAGTAGCCATGTTCTAACGACCCTTTCAATTAGGCCAGCTTATCAGATGTATCTTTTTCATGTCGCTGACTTCATATGATATCAATATTTTTTAATAAAATTCCCCACACTCCCCGCGGTAACAACACTTGAACAGCAGCCGGATAAAAAATGAATCGTAATAATAAACGTTTAAGGAATCATCATAATCGACTTGTATGTGTGCAACAGTGGCAGAACTTGGTACTCCGAACCACCACCGAAATCGTAATCGAGGCAGAGAATTGCTCTAGGGCACCCTCATATCGCCGGCTGGTTGAACTCAATCAAATAGCTCGGCCAAATAAGCCAGTGGCTTGCATATGCCAGTTTATTAGATACAAATTCTTTGGATTTTTCCTCCTCCATGGAAAATAGATGTCGACCATTTTGCAGCTGGGATATACCATACATAGTTGCTCTATTTTCGGCTGGCTTCGACTCGGTGCGATTCGATTTGGGTGCTCGGCAAGGGGTTGCTCTATTAAGGATCGCCATGTGTAGCCATTTTTTGAGATTTGTATTTTTTTGTTGGTTCGCTTTGATTCTGGCACAGGACTAACCCCTATAAAGGACTTGATTCAAGTGCGCAAAAAAAAAGAGAAATAATAAAAAGTGTACAAAAAGGGAAGTCGCAACACGAAACTCGCAACACATGAGGAGTCCCTCCTCCGGGATCGGGGTTCGTTCGGTTGAAAAACCCCGCAATTAAGTCTGCGTTTATGTAGTTTTAACTTGCCCCTGCAGCTCGCAGGGAAATTGTGCCCTGAAAAATCATCATCACTCCCCTCCTCGTACACACACACAGTAACTTTGTGTTTATTATGCCTAATTGCTGTTACTCCATCATCGTCATCATCACCATCATTATCCTTGTGCGCTTTTGTCTGCGCTCCTTTTGCAGCTGCCTTCATTTTGCCTTCGTTCTTTGTCCTTTTGGTTTTTTTTTTTCTTTATTTAAGCGTCCCACATGGCGCATGCTTGATATTTCATTCGAGGCAAGTTCTTTCGAGGCGTTCCCCGAGCCACTTGCATGCTTAGATATTTGCATTATTTGCCACTTTTTGCGGCAACTGCTCTAAAAATAATTTCAAAGCTCGTTAAGGGTATTTTTTTTATATTCCTTCTTTTCTCATTTGGCTTCAGCCTTTTTTCATGTGGCGAAAATTGTTAGTTTCCGGACGAGGACTAGAAACTTGCTCAACTGTGCACAGTGGGCGACATTATTTTGTATTTATAGTAAGGTAGAAGGAACCATCGGTGGAAGGGTTACAAAAAAGCGTAGCTCAAGGATCTTTCTAGGGGGCAACACATGTGAACATCGCAAACAGCGGGATTTCAGGTCGTCGAATTCGAAATGAACTTGTTTCGCAATTGGATAAGTCGGCAAGTATTCAGTTTGAAGGATAAAGGATGGGAAAATTATTCAGCTTTGAGTTTGTGCTATAAATATAGAGAATGAGAGGATGAATTTATTTGAATTTGAGATTTTTAAGTATTTAAATAATGGTAAAAAACCCAACCAATAAAAAATTTATACAGTTTTCTTGAAAAAAATACATAAACATCCAATAATATAAATATAACAGTGCATATTATAATAAGAACTTTAATTTAAGACCTTAAACAAATTTAAATATTATTTTGGAAAATATAAGATCAAAGGTATTTATCTAAATTCTATATATAATACAAAGATTCCAACAACTAGTTTTCTTTTCTTAACCCTAGAAATTTCCACTTGGCTCCTGCCAAGTCCTGCCCATGAAAATCATTTAAATAAAGATTACCAACATGCGAGGCCTCGCGTTCAAATGCCCAGACACAGGTCGATGAAAAGTAAATTATAGTGCACAATAAGCATTCCGAGGGCGGTTCCGTAGACTTGTCGGCAAATTACGTGGCCCGTAAATGGGGAATTTATTTTTAAAACCCAAGAAGAACATCGCTTGAGTCTCTGAGGCCGGGGGTCTAGGTTGGGGCCGACCGGCTGAAAGCAGCGATGATTGCACATTTGAAGGCGAAGCCGTGGAAACAAAATGGCGGAATTGCACGAGTGTGACAGTGTGTGTATCTGTATCTGTGTGTCTGGATAATTTGCGTGTGCGCTGATCATTTGACAAGCGACAAAAACAACAACAACAACAACAACAACAAGGAATCTGCTCCGCGGATAAATCAACCCCGCCATGAGCAGTCCGTGGATTCTACGGGTTCCATGGATTCCATGGCGCGGGAATTATGGGCTGCCGAGGGGTAGCTGCATCATTGCGTCAATATTTGCCCTGGTCATGTAAACACTTTTAATAGGCTGTTTATCAGCTAGTTTGCCGCGATGTATCTCCCAGATACTTGACAGCTGTTGCAATTTACGCTCGAACAGAACGAGCGATTCAGAAATTTCCGCCTTATTTGCCTTTCGGCTTGCGGCATCCGAGATTTCTGCTTCCCTTTCTCTGGCTTACTGAATGTATCTTCCAGATACTTATTTTCGTGTTTGTCCAGCGCAAATAGTTTTTGAAGAGAGGGGAAGGAGCGTCAATTTATTTGCCGTTTGTCAGTTTGCTTTTAATTGAAAATAACATTTTTCCAAAACAAATTTCAGAGCTGCCACAAAGAGAAATATTTGTTTTGATTAATGAGGTTGAAAGTGGGTG